CCAGTGACAATTGCAGATACCCGGACTCCAATAACGAGAAGAAAACCATATAGTTTGGCGTAGTTGGGGAGAGGATGGTGCCTGGAGAACCGGTCCCGACAAGATAAGGACGATTAATACTCTGCTTGCATTCCATGGATTAATGCAACACTTTGCTCCCTCTTCTATGTTAATGGCCCGATATATCCTCGTTTTAACGCCGGCTTCGTCAGTCTTCTTTTTTTTTCACTCTAGGAGCCACTTAGCTATTTACCATTTTAGTCCTTTTTTTCGGAGGGTTTAGTTTAATTTTTTGTACAAGAGGTGGTTCGGGTTGTTCTTTTATTTATTTTCGAAGGCATTTCCTTTCTATTCAGAGATAAAAGAAGAATTTATTTGCATTATAGTACGTTAATTATAGATGACGCCTTGTTCACAGCGTATGGTAATGACATGGGCCATTTATATCTTTTCATTAATTTTATCATACATCTAACATTTAAAAGATAAGGAAAACAAAATTAATTTAATAGATTAAAATACCAACAAAAACAAAAACAGAACGAACAGAAACATCTCTAAAAAATAAAAACTTATTTATAAACACAATGTAGTACGTTTGCTCTTTCCAATAGCCTAAGGTTCATACCTATATTTATCATGTCGCATACAATAGATAAAAATCTTAACTAATATTATTTTTAAAAGATAGGTAATATATATTATATTTAATTACGTTAATTAATGAATTAATTAAAAGTAATTAGCTTAGTGAGGATTTAGTTTGCTCAAAGTAAAATTAATTTACAGCATTAAAAACATAATTAATTAATTCAAATTATTACATTAATAACTGCTTTCAACTAAAATATGAAACTTTGATATTGAATAGAAAGCTTGGTAGTGGGGATCAACACAACTAAAACATTTTGATTTTTAGGATTTGATCATACCGTCGATTCAAATGCTAACTAACTATCTAATATGAAAATATGAAAAATTTACAATCCTGCAAAATAGCGATTTTAATTGTAATTAAATGTTTTTAAAAAGCTAATAAAAAATCTTTGAATTTTCACAAAAGCACATATTAGTGTGAAAATTAAAACATTCTCGGTGTTTGGGTTGAATTTATAATAATATTAGAGAGTTTTTTTTCATTTTCAGATTCGATAGTTCATTCAGATTAAAATTCATGAAATTGTTATTAAGTAAAATTTAATGAAATAACAAATTCGCGATTCAAGGAGGTTTTCCAAACCATGATGGAAGAATTCAGACTACTGTAGGGCATCCAACTGGAGGAAATGTCGGATCCGACTTCAACATTTATCAGAAGAATAAAGCTCGTGTATCACTGAAAGGAATAATTACCTTTAACTATTCAGATCTTATTGTTCAATTTTACCAAAGTATAACGTTGTTATTTTTGCATTTTTTCCTTATCGTCCATGTATTTTTAGTTTTTAAATGTCTATGATTTTCATATTTATTTTATTTTGTTTATGTAGTCTTCAATGAAGCCACACACACACATATATGAGTGTGTGTGTGGCCCGATACATAGGCATTAAAAAATACTTTTGACAAATTTTTAGGTCATTCTTTGTTAATACGACAGGATCATAATATTCTTCTTGATTTTTACATGATTATAATTTTCTTTATAGAACTATTTTTATTTTTTTTTTTAATTTTTGCTAATAAACAAAGATTAAAATACATCTAAGAAATTTTAAATTTCTGGTCACAAAAAAACGTTTCAATATCGCTAAAAAAACAACACTTGGTAAAACTATCATGTGCATACATGCATAGATATGTAAATAATATATCAAAAATGAACCCTTTCTATTTCATTATTTCTACAATAATGAAAAAGAAAGGATACATCAAGTAACTAGAAGGAAAAACAATGGTAGGGAGGAACGTAGAGACAATTGGATACGCCTGTTGGCCTCGCTGAGTAAATAAAACAGGTGGCCCATGAAGTTGCCATGGTTACTGCGGTCTCTAGCTCTGGCCACCACGGCCCGCAATTGACAATTAAATTGGGGCAAAAACCCCTCCCCCCTTACCACTGTCTCCCAGGGGGGTCTCTTTTAATACCGAGGAGTCCCGACCGTTAATATACCAGTCCGTCTGCTCTAATTTCCCGGATATGCAAATCGCATAGGCGCTACCTAAGCAAAAAAAAAAAAAAAGGGGAGAAAAATAAGGAAAAAATCTATGAATAAATATGAGATGGTTTTCTCACTCTGGCGAATTAGAGGCACCATTGCTACAAACCATGAAATGTTTTATTACATGGGCTTGTGTTCCCGACGATATGCAATTAATTCTTATGACGAGTGATAACAAATATAGGCTTATTTAATACATTATCTGTAATAAAAAATGTTTATTTATAAGTGTAATTACTTAAAATAAAATAATTATAGAGGAGAAATATTTATATATGTTTATTGCTAATCTAGAATTTTTTTTTTTTTTGGAGGGTCTAGTTTTTTCATCAAATAACGGTCATTTCTCTGAAACTATATAAATAAATGTTTAAGTGGTTCTTGAAGACCTTAAAAAAATTAAAGATATTTACAAGAATAAGGGACAATAATGCCATTCCCAAAAGGTTTTTTTATATATTTTTTCTTGACACCTGTTAACATTTAGGAGTTGAAATACACGCATTATAATTTGAAAAGATTTTTTTTTTCATAGCCCCTTTTTAACTTATCTTTGCCTTGAATCCTTTGATTTTTATTGTCTTCTTAATAATCCTTTTACTGCTAAAAAGGATTGTAAGGTATATTTTGCTTTTTTTGTCGTTTTTGAGTATTTTTAGTACATCTGTAATATTATCGGTGATGGGGCTCACCTCAGGCTTTGAGTTGACCTTATTCTTTAGAGCTTGCAACTAAATTAAAACACCTATCTTATGTAAGTCTTTGCCAACATTTTGGAATTTTGGATGGTAATAAGGTGTTGATAAGAGGGTTTGCCAATTGTTGAGACTTTTTGAAAAATGTTTTTTTTTCGTTTTGTGAGAAAATCTTTTACTGTTGATAAATTTAGTTCTGCTTGTATATCAAATGTTTTCATTCTCTGCATCGTCGTTCTTCTTAGTATTTTCCTGATTATTCCACTTTGGAAATATTGTAACCTTATCGCAGTTGCTTTGCTGACATGATCAAACAGAGGTGCACCATACAACAGAGCCGACCGTATTATACTTGTATAAATGAGGAGCGTTAGGCGAAAAGATTTTGTTGTCCTAATTAAATTTTGAAGTCTGTGTGAAAAGAGTAGATATTTTGATTGTTTAAGTTTGTAGTAAAGATTAAGTCTATTTTTGCGAAGGGGAGAGGTTTAGCACTCAGCCAGTATCTGCCAGTGACTGATTGGCAACGTCCTGGTCGATATACACTTCTACTCTCATTACTAAAACTATTATTAAGAAAATATATCACTTTATATTAAAAATTTGTATCTAACAATAACTTGCTAATAAGAAAATTCTTTTTCAACTTATTAGTTTTCCAATTATTTTTCACTTTATATATAAGTGAAAGTCTAGAAAAATATATATAAAAGAAGGTTTCATTTTATGTAAATCAGGAACAAAATTATTACTATATTATATATACGATGATAATGTATGGACGTGAAAGATGTTATACTCCTCTTTCCCTAGCAGGTCTTCCGAGCTTATACAACCATTGGTCAGGCCCATACAGCAACACCAAAACGTAAACCTAATTGGAACAATCTTATCCTTCAAGGAGTAAATCGTCCACTTAGTTCTATACAAAGTAAGGGGTGGGAGGGAGGCGGGGAGGCCGAATGGGCGTGTGCACCGCGAGTTGTCCGACAATCCGATAACCGAAGTTATGAGATTAAAAAAGAAGTACGAGTTCGCGTCCCGGTGCCGGAGCGGATTTTAAATTCCTCGCCCTCATCTGCGGCCCAGGAATATCCCGTATAGCCTAAATGGCGAGGTAGAGAAGAACAAGGAACAAAAAAGCTCAAAGTATTAGAAAATAACAGCATTGTTTCTAAATAAACTTAATCGAAATGAAACTTAGTAGACTGCTTATAAAATAGAAACATTCAAAATTATTAATGATATAAAAATACATTCTCTATTCATAACAGCATAACTTAAGTAGTCCAGAACAGAGTTCCTCCAAACTAAGGCCTTCGGGCCGATCCGGAAGCCCGCAAGCACCTCCAAAGAGAAAGTTTCATTGATTACTTGGTACAATTTTAAAAACTATTAGAAAATATCAAATTTAGCAAATTATTCATAAAAGAGGTTACTACAACATTTATTGTATGTTTTTTTTTTTCTTTTAAAAAGGTTATGTAATAATTTAAGTGTCATTAAAGGACAAAAATTTTGTTTTCATGACAAGCCAAGAACCGCGAAACATAGGTGAAGGTCTCAATGCGGCCTACGGGACTTATTGGTGGTCTCAATGTGGCACACAGGCCAAAAACAATGAAGACCCCAGAATCCAGAATAATGGAGCCTAGATTCTTTCGAGAATTTAAATTACCTTTTCAGTAGAGATTTGTTATATAAAATTTGTTATCATAAGTAAAGAGTATATTTTTAGGACACAAATGATAATTTAAAACGGTTTCCGTTTGAGATTATGACTCGTGATTTGATTGTTGATGTTGGAAACCCAATTGATCCACTTAGCAAAATTTCATATATTTTTTTTCTGAAATTGATGAGCAGAGCACAGAAACGGCAAATTGATGATACATAACTAACAGTGACGGTCAAGAGGAACAGCCTGGAAACGGACAACGATTTGTCGGTAATGTCCAACTGATCGGACAATGTTTGACAATTATTGAAGACGCGCAACTGTGATAGATAACTGCGATAGACATGGCCGAGGTAGCGGTATTTTAAGCAGACGTCCCATCGCTCAATGGGGTCCCTTCAATCTTAATTACAGACAGTTAATAGCTGTGAACATGACGACTTACGAATGGCACAACCAGGTTACCTATTAGCCAACATGCCCAGAAGGACCAATCCGTCAGCCGGTTTCTCGTCTGTCTTCCCCAACATGTGTCCCCGCATTTCCCTGATTTCGACATTAGTACCCATTATATACCGCGTCCATCGGATACCTGATAAATTTTAAGTACTGACGTAGGTAAATATTCGGTGGATGCATGTTCATCGAAGAGGACAAGTTATGACAATGATAATTCATGATGAGGACAACGGTGACAGTGCATTAACAATGTTTTAGTTACCATATTAATAATCGTCTAAGTCATTACTAGTGTCTCATGTGATTGCCTAACACCCACTATCATTTTTCAGTAAATTAAAGAAAAGTAACTGAGCTCGAAAATATTTAATCGCATGCATCCATTCCATGCACAATGATACTAACATGTACGAACTCATGGAACTAACTTCTTACAAAAATACAATTCACCTATGTCCAGGTTCACGCGTAGAAAAACGTTTTTCTTTCATGTTTCGCTTAGATCCATTTTTCATATGTTTTCCATGATGAAGGCCAGTAAATTGACCTCACAAGTTGACTAAAATTTAAAAATACACTACGATAGTGTATTTCCTTATTAGCCTCCCCTCCCCCATCTGATCACCAATTTATCATAATTCAATTTTAAATAAGATTATAATTTCCTCTTGCTATCTGTACCAAACAATATTAAAAACCACTAGAAACATGATCATTTTTTCTTTTTAAGAGGCCACATATTTCCAATCTGCCTATTTCACATAAGTTCTTATTTACAATGATCCACTAACAGTTTTAAGGCAATTCTCTAGCTCAACACTTATCCATTCCGACCATCACTTGAATCCTCCCTGAAGAATAAAACGGCACTGGCTCCGAGACCTTTTGTGAATACGTTATTGGAGTTCTGGTGATGGCCAGCACCTCCACTCAATTTCTGAGCGTCTGTGACTCTAGTTACTGCCCTCTGTGGAGAAAATTGCTGGGTATCGTGCTTTCACATGTGGAGGACAAATCTTCGTTTGGAGTCCGCTGTGAAGGGAGACGGTGAGGACGAACTGGCTAACGCGTATCCGTAGCCCGGCAACCTGATAAACTGAAAATTATGAGTTCGATTCCCGGAGCCGGGGACTTTTAACTCGGGAATAAAATTTCCGCCCTTTACCCTGGCGTTGGAAAACCTCCATTTAGCCAAAAAGGTGAGATTGGGGAGAACAAACATAAAAAGTTAAGTCGCTTGTGTGAATGTAAATTGTAAATAGTTATAAAAGTGTTCTTTGATCATTTTCATTTACATTTTCTGCAGTTAACTAACTAATTTTACTAATTTCAAATTTTTTTATTATAATTTATGTATTTATAAATTATCCTTCTCTGTTATTACTTATTATCATGAATGTAATTTTATATGTATTTTTTAAGTTTTTAAATTATTTAAACTTATTTTTTTTAAATTTTAATAATTTGGGAAGCGGGGCAGCTTAGTGCGTAGAGCACAGAGAGTTCAAAAGCACAGGTCCCGGGTTCGAATCCAGATGATAGCAGGTAATTGTTTATTGTTTACTGTTTCACTGACCGTTAAATCGATTCTTGAGTCGGGAGACCTTTCTGGGGCACACCCAGATTCTATGAAGAGAGTACTTCAGATTAATTAATTAAGTAGGGAAACCTGACTTTTGAGCGTGATCTCGGTACAGTCACTCCTTGCATAACCAAGAAACAGCACTTCCTTGCATAGTATTGAGCCCAAGACGGGCGTGCTAATGCGTATGTACAGCACCGTATCTGTTGACCGGCAACCTGATAAACAGATTATAACTTGATAAAATAATTAGAAGCTCGCGTCCCAGGCTCAAGGGGCTTTTAATTCTGGCATAAAGCATCCTTCTTCATCCACTGGCCCGGAAAAACACCGTATAGGTAAAATGCTAAGGTATATATATATATATATATATATATATATATATATATTGTATGAGTCGACAATTTTAGAAACTATACTTATTGCCCTTGGGTGTGGCAGATTTTATTATAATTATACAATAAATAAAAAAATTATTAGGGCGATTTCAATTAGAATCTTCAATAAGAAGAATATTTTTGAGTCCTCGATAGAAATGTGATTTATAGTTAAATATCTCTCGAGCTACGAACGCAGAGAAACGAGCAAACGAGAAAAAAAAAAGGATGAGTGTGATATTCATTTACAAATAAGAAATTTAATAGATATCATAAAGATAGAATGGTGAATAACGTTGATTGGTCAACACTGTGCCATAATATTAAGAAAATAATGTTTCGTAAGAATGTTTTTTTGAGTAATATGTCTGCAGATCTAAAAAAAAAAAAAAAAAACGTAGGATGCTCATCGGAGATTAAGCAGAAGACAGGAGGAGGGACTGAGAGGAGATACGGATCCAGGAGGCTCTAGGGCTAATAGGAACCGCGAATTACAGCGGAGATACAAGGCAAGATAGAACGCAGTTAACACATCCCGCTACATTCTTTTTTTGTAATCATGTCTTAATTTATTATTACGATTCAGAGAGATATTTACGACGGTTAAGAGTTTCAGTTGACCGACTAAAAATTAACTCAGTTTTTAATATCTGTTTAAACTGAGAAGCTCGTGAAGAGAGAGATAAGAAACTTGTTGAACAACATTTTCATTTCATAACTTGGCCAGCGAATATTTGCCAGAAAGTAAGTTAATTTTCTTTTGTTTACAAAATAAGGTATTAAATAATAATAAAAGAAAAATATCAAACAAGAACAGAATTTTTTTATTTCTGTCGTTCCAAGCCACAAATGCGTGAATTCAGAGCATTTATTTAGTTATTAAGTATTTATTTATTTCACTTATTTCTTTTACATAAAATTTTAAGTACCAAACTTTCAAAATAAAATCCAATAACGTTGAAGAAAGCCAGTAAGAAATCAGGTTTCCAACTAAATACAAATAAACCAAAATGTATAATAAATAAAACAATAGCAGAAACGAAAATTTCATTGATATAAAATAGTTTTACCTATAGAGAATAGGTGTAACTAAGAAAGAGAAATTTGAGTATTTAAAATCTTATAACTATAGAAGCAGCCACGGGCGGATCTACGGGGGAGGGAAGAGGGGGGCTTCGGGCTGAAGCCGCCCCCAAAATGGTAAAATACAACCAACCATGGTTTATGGAAAAATAAATTAAAAAATTATCTCTTAAAGTAGTACTGTTCATGTAATTACATTTAAAAGGACTTAAGGAATCACTTAAACGCCATTTCATATAGATAGTTTATTTTATTTTTTCCAAAGTAATTATCATCATTTTTATGAAAAAAAAAAAGCTTCCGGGCTGAGGCCCTCCCCCAAAATTAAATCCTGGATCCGCTAGTGGAAGCAGCTACAATGTCAAAGACGGAATGCATGCAAAAAAATGCATGCTATTTTTTATTCAGACGAATACAGATAATGCTTGTGAAATATGGAGTCAACATGCTCAACTCCTCACCCGTTGGCCCTACATCAAAAACCCTCCTCATAAAATTGATAGTAGATTTTATCTTATTTAATTATGCATATCATAATAAGTTCGATAAATGCATAGTTTCAGAGTCACGATCAAAAAACTTTTAAAAAGTGGAAAATTTCCTTTGGAAACTTTAAATTCAGATTCAGTGCTCCAAAAAACATAAAAACCCAAAGAGGAACCAACTATTTGATTTTTTTTCTTACCCAACTACCATTCCACTGAACTAATTTGATGTTAAAGTCAATTTCTAATTAGTCGTTAGTTTTCAAAACTAAACAGATTACATAGCCAGTCAAGTTGAATTTTCTATTAGAAATATATTTTTTACAAGATATCAAAATTTCAGCTGCCTCTTTTTCCGTTAAATGAACCGTCAATATTGCCTTTTAATTTATATTTTCGAATAGAAATTTATTTATTTGTTTATCGAGTAGAAATTTGTTTATTCTAACAAATAAAAACAAAATAACCTTAACAAGATAAGTAAATAAAATAACACAGACAATAAATACTGTATACAATATTTGCAATCAACCACGGGAATTAAAAAAAAAATACATTAAAATATTTGATACCATACAAGAATAACAGAACATTGAATTGTCTTGCTTCTTTCATAATACATTTGCTCAAATACGAAATGGATCAATTATCAAATACTCAGTGAAATTTGGGAATAGTTGAAAGTGCCTTGCCATTATTTGCATTTTTAAAATTTGTTGACTTTCGTAATTTTTAAACATATTTTTAGATTACAAAAAAAAATGATAAGGAAATTATGGAGTTCTAAGATGTTAGGCATGCGTAAGTTAGATAAGCCACACGAGTGACTCCAAATATTTTTCTAAACCGACTAGGAAAATACACTTCAAAATTGTAATTTAAATAATAGTGATAATTATAGTCATACACACACACACCTATATGATAAATGTCAGAATATAATTATAAATATGAGGTGCTAAAATATGTAAATATATTTAGCAGAATAAATTAAGGAACAGGTGAAGATCATAGGAGGATACCCCAACGTTAAACAGGAAGACAATGGAATATAATAATAATATTGAGTATAGCTTATCTATTGACAGATATAAAAGTGGGTCAATAAAATGTGGAAAGAGGAACAGGTGGGAGATATCAGATAAAACATTCCACCCGTGCAGGCAGCACGGCTGGGAAGACCGATTCTGGCCCATGTGTTTGCGCTACGGTGTCAATATTATTATTATTTTATGAATATTTATATATATAGTTGGAAAACATCTATGGAGATACGATAATTTATACAAATCTTTAAAACATTAGGAAGTTATCAAAATTAAACAAACAGAATCATGTTTCTCATTTTGTATATTGTATAGCAAAGTAAATATAATAGAAAAATTAAATACTTTTCATTCGTTAGTTAATAGTGTGCATTTATCAAAAATATTATGTTCACAGCGACCGTCAAAACATTAGTATTTTACGTGAACTTTAACGATTTTTTATGTATATCAAAACCAATGTAACCAATCAATACTACCATTTTTTTTTCCTACCCTCCAGGAATTTATTTACTATTCAAAATAAAATATATAAAT